CACACTCCCTGCCACCAACCACGCTACACCCCCTACAGTTTCTTCAATGGTCCTTCGAGCCGGAGACCTGAGGGAGTGATACCACGGCAGACAGAGGTATGGAGACACCAGAGGGAGGAGAGCCAAGGGAACATGCTCATTCAGTGAGGTCAGCACCTGCACTGGAGGCCTCTTCCAGACCTGTGCGAGAGAGGCACCCACCAGCCCGATATGGCTTCTCTGCCAAAGATGGACGGACTACCCGTGTGCCCACTCTTGACACCCAGACATCTGGAACACGTCCTCTTTCAGCAGCTCCTGACCCTCCAGTGTCTGAAATACCCCCACAAGAAGCTTCTTCTCCACAGTCTGGACACCCAGAACAACAGGAAGGGGAGGAAGGACAAAGACAGGATGAGCCAGCAGAAGAGCTTACCCATGATTATGCCCCATCTGGCTTGCCTTCTTCACAACCTTCGCAACCAAGTCCACCGGCAGGAGGTGGAGTGGGACCCACCACGACCAGAGGTGAGGGCCGCGTAGTAAAGCAGAGGACCATCACCTCCTCTTATACCTATACGTATGGCAGCCAGAGCTCGCGACGCTCGCCGAAAGGCCGCCAGGTGGAGCTCACCGCACTGCAGACAGCCGTGGTCGAGGAGAAGAGGAAACTTGGAGAGCTGCAGGAGATTCAGAGACAGATACAAGAGGACCGGGACATCGACGAAAGAGCTAACGTGTTAGACTGGCAAGCACAAGTGGCTATGAAAGAGCGGGAGAAGTTGACTCGTAGCCTCACCATGCAAAGGAGGCTGCGCAGGGCGCAGAGGGAGCTAGAAGAGGCAAAGCTGATAACTTCCTTTGCCGAGGATACGGGGGCAACCATGAGCCGGGCACCGACACCACCGATTCCAGCTGAGGTCCCGCATCCGCCACAGGTGTTTGCACCGTTAACCATGAGTTCAAGACTGCAAGATCCCACAGGGCCAGCTGAATTGGTTCCAGAACAGCCAGAAGCGGCTCGACTGGAGGTGGCGCAGCCCATGGCTCCCCCTCCGCAACCAATCGCCACTCCAGGTCTGGTGACTCCATCGATAGCTGGCCTCATCAGTCAACCCTTACCTCCCATTGCCAGTCAGCCAACTACCTCTCTGTCTGGGCCTTCACTGTCACAGAATCAACCAGCACCTCTAAGCCCTGAGAATGCAACTCTTTCACACCCATCCTTCCGCAACATCGTTCAGACTGTGCCACGTCCTGTCCGAGGTCCGAGACCTCCAGATCCGGCTGATACCAAGGCCTTACCTTTTCCCCTACCAAAACTCTCTGATGTGGCAGCAGAAGGTGTGCACATCATGGAGTTGCTGGTAGCAACCGCCTTTGGAATCCCGAAACCGAAGCTGCCATATTTCGAGAGTGGTAAAGAGAGTGACTTTGTTCTGCTTACCATGGCATTGGAGAATCTTTTAGATATCCATGCTCACCTTTCAGAACAGTACAAGTTCCAAGTCCTAATGGACCACTTGAAGCTACCGAGTGCAGCCAAGCTAGGAAAGTCCTACATGCATGCCTCAACTCCTTACACCTCTGCTCTTGCTGCCTTGAAAGCAAGGTATGGACAACCCCGACAGTTGGTCCAGGGTGAAATAGCCAACATCCTCTATTCACCACCTGTTAGGTACGGTGATAGTAGTGCTTTCCAGGACTTTGCTCTTTCTGTACACTCACTAGTTGGCATGCTGCGTGCTGTAGAAGGTTTGGGGGGAAGTGAATTGCGGTGTGGTTCCCATGTCGACCGCTTACTCACCAAGCTCCCCCTTCAATACCGCGATGCTTTCTTCGAGCACTGTTTGCTCCGTGGCATTCTGAAGGAGGGCTCAGACCAAACATACACCCTTGAGGAGTTCTCTGCATGGCTCCAGATTAAAGCTCGGGCCAAGAGCATTGCCCAACATGTTTCATTTCATGCTCCAACTGAGCGACGAGATTCGACGTCCAGGAGTCTGAAGAAGGGAACCCCTGCTACGATGTATCTGAATACCGCCACTCCGAACACTGAACCGGACCCGCTCGTGAGGGGGAAAGGCACCATTGTCTCCTCTGGTAGAGGGAAATTCATACCTTTCTGCCCCTACTGTAACAGCAGGGAACATTTTCTAGGAACATGTCCAGAAATCAAGAAGTTCAGTCCATCGGAGCTGAAGGGCTGGATAGAAAAGAATAACCGCTGTTACAGATGTGCCCGTTGCCATGCTGCTGACAAATGTACCCTCAAGAAGCCCTGTAATGTGTGCAACGAACTGCATCTCACCGTCTTGCACAGCCTTGCACAGCAGTTGTCCAAGAGCCCATCGGGTTCACCAGGTCCTTCATCAGCTGCTTCCAAGGCGACTCATTCACTGCTTGTCACTACCCCACCTGTTATCAGAGATGCTCTGTATATTGACCAACCCAACCGATCTCCTCGCGTAATGTTGAAAATAGTCCCAGTCTTTTTGCTGAATGGCCGACAGAGGCTGAAAACATACGCTATCCTCGATGATGGCTCAGAAAGAACCATCATATTGACCACAGCTGCGAGCCAATTAAATTTGGAGGGACCCACAGAGACTCTCAACCTCAGGACAGTAAGGCATGAGGTGATACCGGTGACTGGTGAGGTTGTATCCTGCCATGTCTCCCCTCTTGACCGGAAGAAGAGGTTTCCTATAACCAATGCTTTCACCGCCCCTGTCCTCAACCTGGCTGAGCATTCCTGTCCCGCATCTGACCTTCAACGGGTGTATGCCCACTTACGAGGCATACCTCTGCCTGGATTTTCCCGGGCCCAGCCATTAATCCTGATTGGTTCGGATCATTCCCACTTGTTGGTACCCAGGGAGCCGGTCCGCTTTGGTCCTTATGGGACACCCATTGCCATCCATACTTCTTTAGGATGGGCCATACAGGGCCCAGCGGCAGCCTTGCCTTCCTCACCTGCTTCCAGCGCTCAGGTGTTGTTCTCACGCTGTAACACTGTGTCCTGTCCTATCACTGCCGAGTTGATGGAGGACGTGGAAAGGCTGTGGAGGTTCGATTCCTTTCCTCACCGGAAGGAGAGGAAAGTGACCCGGTCTAAACAAGACCAATATTCGTTGGATTTGCTGGATGCGAAAACCACTGTGACTGAGATAGGTGGGGTTGCTCGTGTGGCTACTCCACTGCTCAGAGTGCCCAACGGACCTCACTTGACTTCCTCTGTTCGAACCTTGCTCCCTATGTTGCGGGGAACGGAGCGTAGACTGAGAAGAGATCCAGTGCTGGCTGAGGTGTATAAAGAGAAGATACAGAAGCTAGTAGCTGTCGGCTATGTGAAAAAAGTGAATCCAGAGGAGGATGAACCAGGCTCCGAATCCTGGTATGTGCCACATCACATCATCAAACAAACCAGTGGGAAACATCGGCTGGTGTTCAACTGCTCCTTTCAGAGGAATGGCCTCAATTTGAACCACTGCCTTCTGCCTGGTCCAACTCTGGGCCCTTCACTCCTTGGTGTTCTTCTTCGTTTCCGTGAGCACACCGTGGCCATCAGTGGTGATATAAAGTCTATGTTTCACCAGATTCACTTACTCCCTCCTGATAAGTCTTTACTCAGATTCATCTGGCGAGAAATGGCCCCCGCTACCAATCCACAAACCTACGAGTGGCAGGTCCTACCCTTTGGCACGACATGCAGCCCATGCTGTGCTATTTATGCCTTACAGCGTCATGCAAAAGAGCACCCAGGAAGTGACCAGCAAGTGCAGGATTCAGTTCTCAAGGCCTTTTACGTAGACAATTGCCTGCAAAGTTTCTCTCTTTCCGCTACTGCGAAGACCTTGCTGGACAGATTACGCACTACCCTAGCCCGAGGAGGATTTGAAATCCGCCAGTGGGCCAGTAATGACCCCCAGGTCATAGCTCATCTTCCTTCGGAGGCAAGATCTGTTAATACTGACCTGTGGCTCTCCCAAGCTGGCGTGGATTCCCAGGAGTCGACCTTGGGCCTACGCTGGAACTGCCTCCCTGACAGCCTGGGTTACAAACACCGGGTGACGCCCATCGAGGTCCCCACACTTCGCCTCATCTACCGCACACTTGCCCGCCAATATGACCCTTTGGGGTATCTCTTACCCTATACCACCAGAGCTAAAGTCCTTGTTCAGGATTTGTGGAAGACAAAGCAAGGATGGGATGACCCAATCACTCCAACCAACCTGGTGGATCGATGGTTGAGGTGGGAAGAGGAGCTAGCTGACCTTCCCAACATCAGTTTACCTCGCTGTTATGTTCCTCCTTGTGCTGACCTGTCGGATGTAGACAGAGAACTGCATGTCTTCTGCGACGCTTCCGAGCGGGCTTATGGGACTGTGGCTTATATACGAGTCAAGGACATTCAGGGCCATCTCCACGTAGCCTTTGTCATGGCCCGCTCCAGAGTTTCACCAAAGAAACAGCTGTCCATGCCCCGACTGGAGTTGAGTGCTGCCTTAACCGGTGCCCAATTGGCTACCACACTACATTCTGAGCTCACTCTCAACTTCACTCGTACCATCCTATGGAGTGACTCAACAACCATTCTTACCTGGTTGAAGTCCGAATCTTGCCATTATAAAGTTTTTGTTGGGACTCGCATCGCCGAGATTCAAGATCTAACAAGTCCTGATGACTGGAGATACGTGGACAGCCAAAACAACCCTGCAGATGCTCTGACTCGAGGCAAAAGGCTCTCTGAGCTGGCCCAACCCAACTGTTGGACCAGAGGACCCCCTTTCCTCCGGGAACCAGAGGAGTGTTGGCCTGTTTTCCCTGTCGCCTCTAAGTCATCACCGTCAGACAAAGAGGTGGAACTCAAGAAAGCTGCCCAGTGTTTGAATGTTAACACTTCCCCTATGGTCCTGCCGGAGGCTTCTCAGTTCCAAAGCTGGTCTGATTTGATTGCTGCAACAGAGCAGATGGTTTCTAAGACTGCCGATGTCCCCACCAGGGACTCTCCTGAAGCCCTGATCCTAAGACAATCCCAACAGTCATGTTTCCCTGATGAGTTCCAAGCTCTCTTGAAAGGGAAGAATATCCCAAGACAGAGTCGTCTCCTTTCACTTTCACCTGAGCTGGATCCTGAGGTAGGACTGTTGAGAGTAGGCGGGAGATTACGCCGTTCCCACGATCTGGATCCAGACACCATCCACCCAATCATCCTTGATCCAAATCATCCCTTGACTCAGCTCCTCATCAAGCATTATGATGAATCCTTGCTCCACCCTGGGCCAGAGCGGGTCTTTGGGGAGTTGCGACGCAAATACTGGATCATAGGGGGAAAACCAGCTATTCGCAAACACCAGCATGTTTGTATGGAATGTCGGAAGTGGAAAGCCTCTCCAGATATTCCCAAGATGGCTGATTTGCCTCCAGCAAGACTGCGCCTGTTTAAACCGCCATTCTGGTCCACTGGGGTAGATTGCTTCGGGCCATTCACCATCCGTCATGGTCGCAAGTCAGAGAAGCGATGGGGAATCATATTTAAATGTTTAACCACCCGTTGTGTACATCTCGACCTTCTGGACAGTTTAGATGCCGACACCTTCCTGTTGGCCCTTCGTCGTTTCATTTCACGGCGTGGCAATCCCTTCGAAATCTTGGCTGATAGGGGAACAAACTTCCGAGCGGGTGACCGGGAACTCCAGGAGTCCTTCCAGGCAATGGAGCCGGGACTTCAAGAACAGCTGACCAACCAGCAGATTTCCTTCAAGTTCAATCCTCCAGGAGCGCCACACTTTGGAGGAGTCTTGGAACGGGAAATCAGATCGGTAAAGAATGCTCTGAAGGTTGTCCTGGGAAGCCAAGTTGTCACAGAAACAGTCCTTCAAACCATCTTAAGTGAGGTTGAAGGAATCCTAAATTCTAAGCCTCTGGGATACCTCTCTGCTGATGCCGCTGACCCGGATCCCATCACGCCCAATCTGCTCCTCATGGGGCGGCGGGATGCGTCGTTGCCTCAAGCTATGTTCGTGAATAGTAGCCTCCTTGGACACAGGAAGTGGCGTCATAGCCAGATGTTGGCAGACCACTTCTGGACAAGATTCGTCAGAG